AATACCCCCAATTAGAATCAAATCAAGTAGCCTCAGGTTCTCCTGGAACTCTCTTAATATCCAGGAATAAAATGGGGACCATCATCAATTTATATCCTTGTGGTTTTGGAATGAGTATTTTAGTCTTTTTTCTTTCTGGGCCTAACAATGCCAGCTATTGCTGAAGGATAATCACTATAGAATGGATGTTGTCCCAATGAAGAATAATCAACAAGCAGCTACATAGGGGGGTTAGGGGGGTGGGGGAGGATAAAAGTTGTAGATAATAGGAGCATGTCCTCTTCCCGGTTGGAAAATAAAGAAGGTTGAAAGTTTCTGACAGCAGAGTCTCTGTCTTCTATTCTTTGTGTCTCTTGCATTAGCCAAGGGCCTAGCCTCACATATGTAAGCTTCAACAAATGTTTGTGAACGAATAAGTTAATCATTACCTACTTAATACAGAACTGAACTATAGAACCTGTTCAAAGAAGAAAGGCAAGCCCGGCTGGTGTTGCTCAGTGGTTGAGCATCAACCCATGAACTAGAAGGTCACGGTTCAATTCCCAGTCGGGGCACATGCTCAGGTAGAGGGAGTGCAGGTGGCAGCCAATAAATGATACTGTCTCATCACTGATGATTCTCTCTCCCTCTCACTTTCACATCCTCTCTCTGAAATCAATAATAATAAATATGTTTTTTAAAGAAGGCAAGATTCCATATTCTATATAGAAACTAGAATAACTATCAGGACTATGATTAATTGGCCAAAGGATCAGGGGCTTCTTAGGCCAAGGGGAACAAGGTGTGTATCAATGAGGAGACTCTTGGAATTCTTTTTTTAAAAAAATATATTTTATTGATTTTTTTACAGAGAGAAAGGGAGAGGGATAGAGAGCTAGAAACATCAATGAGAGAGAAACATCGACCAGCTGCCTCTTGCACACCCCCTACTGGGGATATGCCTGCAACCAAGGTACATGCCCTTGACCAGAATCGAACCCGAGACCCTTCAGTCCCTAAGCCAATGCTCTATCCATTGAGCCAAACCAGTCTCGGCAAAAAATTCTTAAAGTTTAATTGCCTTTGATCAGGCTGTGCATTACTCAGGTATAATAGATTCATTAGGACTCAGGTTTTCAGGTAAACATGGGCAAATCCTAATCCTAGGATCAGCAGGTAAGTCCCCCAAATCCTGTTCATTTTCCCCAGAGTCTTGTGTTTAGAATGCAACAAAGCAATAAATATGGGCAAGGTTAAAACCAATTTTCAGATATACAGAAATTTATATCCTAATAGTTTTTAAAAATGACTTGCAAGGTTTTCATGCTATATTACCGCATTTGATTAATTTGTTACAGGATTACGATTTTATAATATGGCACGGCTAATGTTCTGCTTTTCAAGTGATATCCAGTACGCATATAAAATTCAAATTCCTTAGCTTGGCGTTAAAGTCCTGTGTGGCATGCTATCAAATTAACTACTTTTCCAAAATCATATCAAATCCTCTTCATATGCAATGTATGCTCCAACTGTACTCAATTTCTCTTTTGGGTCTCGGGGATTTTGCATTGTCTGTGAATTTGCTCCAAACAGTGTTTCTCCCTCATCACCAAGCATCAGAGAAGAGTTAATTACCTCCTCCTCTGTGTATCTTAACATACCTCTATTTTTAAGAATCAGTATCCTTTGTTTTATAACCATTTAGTTACTTTTCAACATCATGTGCTAGGCTGTCCGCTCCAAAAGATAGCAGGCAAGTCTTCATTTTGTCTACCTCACCCTAGTTCAACAAATACTCATTGGCTGCCCCAAACATCCATGCATACATATTTATGAAACCATTACCAAACAATGTATCCGATTTCATTGCTTTACATCGTTAACATTTAATAAAAACAACTTGCAAATAAATTGTTAAAGATCATGTTTCGAACACACACCTCCACCCCCCTACGGGTTTTATCTACATTTAGTTGTGATGGACATTTGCTCTGGCCTGTGGAGACCCAGGAAGAGTAAAATCCTTTAGACCTGTAATTATATCTATGTAGTCTGCCATGAGAAGCGATTTTTCTCATCTAAAAAGGCTATGCTGGAAAAGCCACGCTTTTGGCGATTTCATTCACATTTAAAAATGTTAACAATTCTGTCAGCCCAAACTGAAAATGACTGCGTGAGAAATGAAAGCTTGCGTAACTCTGACACTTGCTCTTCATGGCTCATTATCCCCATGGCTTTCATTATGCAGCTAGGAAGCGGGGTCAACGTCACAAAATTCAGGACCAATTAAGAAAATTACTGCATGCAGATGTGACTTTAGAAAAGACTTGATTTCAGCAACATAAGAAAGAATGATGAAAAACCTACAGATGTTTTATAGTTTAAGGCAGACTTTATCCAGGGTTTTGCCCACTTCCCTTGACCTTTCCTGATCAACCCTGAAACTTTCTCTTTGATGGTATTCCCAAGGAGTTTAGGAAGTCCTGGGCATATTTCTTGAAGTTCTCGGAGTTCATTTTCAAGCATATCCATGGAGGTGAGCATATTGTCATGATCCTTATATATATGAATTGCAGGCGGGCTCCAAACCTTACAATCTTTTTTTAGAGCTTTTATAGTTTATGGAAATAGCCACAAGAACAAAGATTATTCACAAACCTAACATTTTATTTAAGAAAAAGTAACAGAAGAAAACTTATCTAGATACCATTAGCAAAATGTTGTATATCTATCAGCCACTTGTTTTTCTCCTACAGCTACATTTGACGTAGGATATAAACATAATATAAAATGTATTTTCCATCTATCTATCTATCTATCTATCTATCTATCTATTTATCTATCTATCTATCATAAATCCTCACCCAAGGATATTCCTCCCTTCCCATTAATTTTTAGAGAAACTGAAAGAGAAGGAGGGTGGGAAGAGAAAAAGAGAGAAACATCAATGTGAGAGAGATACTTTGATTGGTTGCCTCCTGCACAAACCCTGGTTGGGGCCAGGGATTGAACCTGCCATTCAGGTAAGTGCCCTTGACAGGGAATCGAACCCATGGTCCTTTGCTCCCAGAGCCAATACTCTAACCACTGAGAAAAACCAGCCAGGGCTCCTTTTTGAATCAATTTCAATAAATGCTTATTAAGTGATTGCTATCTGCTAGGTATTAAACTAAGCTAAGTAATATTTCCACTTAATAAAATTCATATTTTGGCTCACAAGTCAGACACAGGCAAACAGTGATGATTCGTACATAATTTCATGTGCAAAGTGCCATGGGATCCTTATGGAAGGAGATATAACTCACATATAAATTAAATGTGGAGAAGCCAGAGAGATCAGTATGATCCTGATAAAATAACCCCTTCAGCTATATGTTATAACCCATGTCAATAAATATTTCTCCCTGTAGTTTTTAAATATTTTTAGGATCCAAACAGAGTCATTTTTCTTGGGCTCTCCCTTGTACACGAGACAGAAAGATGCTAAATAACTTAATGTAGTTTTCACAAGTGGCTTTTCCTGTCCTTTTAAAATAATGACTATTCTGAAGCATAAATAAAAACGTTGCTTATATTTTTGTTATGAGGGTGAATGTTTTTTATTCTAGACAAAATTTTGAGCCTCACTTATGTACTAGTAGATTAAATCTAGACATAATCTATAAAATAAAAGTATTCATAGAATTTATCTTGTGGAATTTCAAATACAATATGAGGAAAATGAAAAGATCAGATTATGGTAGAACACCTAATTTTATCATTAAAAAGGTCCTAGTAAATAATCTTTTCATTTTATTAACAATCTTCTTTAGGGAGTATTTAATTTACAGGTGTAAAATTAAATGTAAAATGCTTAGGCCCTCCTGTCCTTTCATTAAATCATCATCTTTCTAAAAGGTAAGACACTGTGAGCTTGCCTTGTGTTTCTCAATATGGTCAGAGGACCTGTTCTGAGAGGATTGCCTAAAAATGGGTTCAAGCCTAGAGCTAAGCCTTTCCCTCTGAAAGACCAATAGCCATATGATTTGGCTTCTCTGATCATGGGTGATCCTCTTCAGAAAAAAAATCTAGGCCCTTATAAAGTAACCTTTAAGGATACTCTCCTTTTGGGGGATCATGAAAACCATTTCTATAAAATGGGTTATTGTTTCATTTAAATGGCTTTTTTCATTTTAGCTTCTGAGTCAGACTGAGGAACTAGAGAGGAAATATACTTAAATTAAAAAAATATCTATATATCTGTGTGTGTGTGTAATGCTCTTGTAGGAACTCTTAAGTTTGTTCTCTTTCTATGTATGTATGTATATATGTATGTATGTATGTATGTACCTACCTACCTATGTATCTATCACAATGTCTCCATGGACAGTAGGATCTACTGATTACCTTAGGGAATATATAATAGGAAACTAGGGCTCAGAGAAGTAAGGTAACTTGACCAAGTCACACAAGTGACAGAGCCAAATTCAAGTTCAGAGTCTGGTTCCAGGTTCTATGCCTATAACCCCTATGCATACTGTCTCAAGCACCTGGGAGGAGAGAAAAGTCTGTTTCCTGCTTGACTAAATGTTTGTCCAGGTCTGTTGCTAGGGAAAAGTGTGGGCAGGGATAGAAACATTTTTGTGCATTTCTATGAGCTGAGCATCATGTTAGGTACTTTTCACATATAATTTCAAGGTATCTTTATTATTATATCAAGCTATTCAATATTAACCCAGTTTATTAGCAAACTGAGGCCCAGAGTTGTTAAATAACTTGCCAAGGGCACACAGCTAGTATGGGACTAAGCCAGGGTTCAAAAGTAAGACTGAATGTTCCCCACTACACACTATATGCTAAAAGTCTACAGATCAAATTCCAGATGACAGATCATGAAATACTGGCCTCACGTAACCAGAAATAGTATTTGAGCTTGAAGCTTCTCAGAATCAAAGCTTTTGCAAAGGAGACAGACAGGGACATTTTACTTCCTGTCCCAGCCCAGTGAATGGGGATGTGACCCAGGCCTCGCTTCCTACCTTGACAGATATTGTCCTGAAGTGAGGTTTGCGGTTTCCACATCCATGCAGTTCATCGTGCTGGGAATGAGAGCAAGTTCTGGCTGGATCATGGTGGCGGAGGCTACGGCTCTTGCAACCAATTCCATGGCATCTTGCACATAGTACTCAAAGACCGACTGCGTTTTTTTCCCATGAGCGATGAGCCCTAAGGGAAGACCTTCTGTCCTCAGTTCCTCGACGTTCTGTGAGTCCCCCAGCACCCAGCGAAGCTCAGAGGGCATTACCCAAAACTGGGTGGTGATCTCGAAAATCCGCCGGATGCTGTCCATGTGGCAGCCGAACATCACCAGGGTGGGCGTGCTGTTCTGGATGCTCTCCAGCTGGGCCTGCAGGAAGCTGAGGAGGTCCTCGGTGGCGGAGAGGTTGGCGGTGATGTTGATGATAGACCCGAGGTGGAACTTGGCGTTATCCTGGGTGAGGAGGAGGAAGTCGGTGATGTTCCAGTCTTCCTGGCACAGCAACAAGCTAAAATTGTACCAGTTGTTCATGGTCAGGATTGAGACAGTGACATCAGCATCAGAACTTAATGAATTTTCTAAACTCAGCTGTAGGTGAAGGGGATTCTGTATTTAAAGATATGAAAAAGAACAATTAGAAAGTTCTGGCCAAGGATTAAAACATAGGGTACTTTTGCTTTCTAGTGAGCCTTAATCCTCATACTTTCCCCTGTAATATTTAAATGCACACCTGAGATAAAATTCCCATAATTTGGAAAACTATGTTTCCTACCTAATGGGATTATTGATTCCTTACAACTGATTTCCTTATAATTTTTGCTAAGATTATCAGCTGGTTCTTAGTGTTAACTATTGGGGTGACACAACTATATATACATTTGGTCTTTAATGTTTATCAGGCCTGTCTATTTCCTTCCAGACTGTGCCCTTTATGCATCCCATTTCTACTTATTACTGGTATGAACCTGTTTGTTAAATTTTCCTCTCAGGTGAAATGGGCATTAGTATTTCAACATATTTCAAAAAATTACATTTGCTTTCCTTTAAAATTAATAGCAGGTACTTATATAAGGATTAGAGGCCAGGTGCATGACATTTGTGCACTGGTGGGGGGGAGAACCTCAGCCCAGACTGCTCTCTATTGCAGTCCAGGACCCCTCGGGGAATGTCCGCCTGCAGCAGAGGTGGGCGACTCTCCCGTCACCACTGCTGTGCTTGCCAGCCCTAAGCCCATCTTCTGGCTGAGCAGCACTCCCCCTGTGGGAGCATACTGACCACCGGGGGGCAGCTCCTCATTGGCTGTCTGCCCCCTGGTCAGTGCATGTCACAGTGACTGGTTCTTTTGGCGTTTGGTTGATTGGTATACTAGGGTTTTATTATATAGGATGATGTGGGAAATGGATGCATCATAGTAGTTTCTGAGATTTCTAGCTGCTGAGGAAGGCACTTCTAATATTCATGGTGCTATGGTTTGAATGTTTGTGTTCCCCCCAAGTTCATATGTTGAAATACTAATGCCCAGGAAAGTGATTAGGTCATGAGAAAAGAACCCACATGAGATTAAGGTCTCAGAGGCTGGAGAGACCTTCCTTTCCCCTTCCTCCATGTGAGGATCCAGTGAGATGTTGGCTGCCTTGTGACCCAAGATATGGCCCTCACTCAGCCATGCTGGCACTGTGATCTTGAACTTCCAGCCTCCAGAGCTGAGAAATGCATTTCAGTTATTTATAAGCTACCCAGTCTGCATTCTAGCAGCCCGATTAAAATAAGATATATGGCATAATTAACAATACATACACTAAGATTAAGTTCAATATTGAAGGCTTGCTTACATTTCTGTATATACTGAGAATGGATTCTTATTGTGAAATGTGTGTTTATGTAGCTTCCATCACAATTTCATCTACTTATAGAACTCACCAATTCCATGAAGAAAGAATATCATATTTGGAAAGTCAACAAATTACTTACTAATCAAGTAAGTGGAAATAGTCCTCTAATGAATAAACTTATTGAAGTGTTATTCCCAAGAGCAGATATCGGACACATTTATCCTTTCATATTGACATCCTGAGAAAGTTCAGCACAAATCCTTACACGTATTAGGTGCACAATAATATTGGCTGCATTGAACTAAGTATGTTCCCATTGGGAACTATTAGACAATTGAACTATTTCTGAGAAACTGTCCAACATTCAAGTCAATAACATCAGTAGAGAAATGAGGAGGACTTTCTCAGTAAAGTTTCAAGCCTTTGAACAAAAGGAAGTGTGGCCTTTACCCACCAAAAAAACCCCAAACAAAACAAACAAACAAACAAACAAACAAAAAATGTCAAAAGGAATAGGATTTGCTAAGTATAGAATAAGGAATGAGGATTCCAAAGGGATTTTTGGGAGAAAAACTATGGCCAAAGGCAGTAAATGAACACAATAGGTAGGATGGAACCTTAGAACTTATTTTGAGAATTTGACTGTCCTTCCAAATTAAGCTGTAATGATAAAAGCAGAGTATTCAGGGGATCAGCTATAGGTTGCATTCCATGGAAGAGGGGCAGAGGAACTGAGCCCTCTAGGATCTTGATTGCACTGTTACACTGGAAGCCAGTGTTGACAATAATAGAAAGGGGGATGGGAAAAGTGTGTGTGTGTGTGTGTGTGTTTTAAATTAAAATCTAATGACAAGATTAGATATGAGAGGCAAAAAAGAGAAAGGTGTCAAAAACCAGGAGACAGTATCCGGAAGGTAGTTCCTGGTTTGCAGGCTGGGGAAGCCCTGGAAGAGGTTGAGATAAGAGGAATGAAAGCTTTGCTTCCTCACTCCTACTACTGATTCATATAAATTGCTCCAGAGAGTTTTTTTCTGTCCTCCTCTTTCAGCTTTCTTTTTTTCCCTTCTTCCTTTTTATTTCTTCCTTTGCCTTAACCCTCTTCTAGAAGCAAAGAGCACAGGAATGCAAGCTCCATATTTAGCTGGCAGAAACAAACTATTCCTAACTGTTTTCTTGGCTTCAGCTCCCTATTCTATTGCCAGTTTTCTTTCTATAACATGAATATGATCATATCATTCTTCTGAACCACAACCTCTGAATCACTCATAGGAAATATTTCAAAATCAATAGTATGGCTTAGGAGGCCATTCCTAGTCTTTAATCTCCTATACTCCAAGTATGCACACCAAGACAAGTCTCAATGGACAGTGCATTTCTCTTGTGTCAGACTGAGCATTTCCATGCCTACACAATATGATATCCTGGTCTGGCCACCTGGAAATGCATTTGCTTGTATGCATCGTCATCCTTCAAAACTCAGCCTTTCCGTGCAGATTTCCAGAAAAACTAGTGTATGTAGTGTTTATGACTGTTTCTGTTGTTGCTGCTGCTACACTTTTATCTTTTCTCTCACAATATTTTGCCCTGTTGATTTCCAGCAGTGGTCAACTGGGTTTTTGTTGGATGGTTCCTCTGACTGCTGACCAACAGGATGAATCATCTCATGTCTGTGTCATGGGGTCATGTCCAACCCTTTATTACAGAACTCTTCACACCACAGTGTGGCTATTTGGTTATGTGGTTATCTATCACACTAGATTGGAAGCTTCTTTAGGATAGTACTTAGGAATATATCTCAATCACTTCTTCTAGCACAGTTCTTAATCAACATGAGAGTATCTGTCAAACAGGATTCTTTTCTCTTGGCTTCAAGTCCTGGGCTATGATCATAATCTCTTCCCTGAAAGACTGAGAAGACCATTCCTAGCAGAACTTCTAGATCTGGTATTTTGTCCCCAGTTGCAACAAAGGCCCATCATACACTTTTCATAAAGGGATTCATTAAACAGTATGTGAGGAGCAAGCTCTAATGGAGACAGGGAGGAAAATGTTCTTTTCTTGCCAGATGCAAGCTAGCCCAGAAGGCTGGGCCCCCTCATTGCTCCTATATGCCAGCCACACAGGCATGCCATTCTAACCCATGCCAGGACACACCTTAAAGTGACTTGACCCAGGGACCTTTAGGATTACTTGCAAATATTAAGTCTACAAATGCCAAGGCTCTCCTTCACATGCTTTTACCAGTACAGAGGACTGGCCAATAGCACAGGTTTTCAAGTCCTACACATTTGGGGTTGGGATCCAGGCTCCCTTTCTTAGTAACTGCAACCTTGGGAAAATTAATCTTTCTGAGCCTCATTTTGATAATCTGTTAAAGGAGGCTGATCACCTCCTGAGGCCATTGTGAGGATAAAATAAGGCAACATGCATAAAGCACTAGGGACATCGGTAGCTATTATGAGTTTTGAATTTGTATTATTATTAGACTAGAGGCCCAATACACAAAGATTTGTCTAAGAATGGGCCTTTCTTCCTCTGGCTGCTGGCACTGCCTTTGCTCTGGCTGGGGCTGCCTTTCTGCCTTCCCACGCTGCCCAGAGGCCCGGAGTGGCTGGGGTGGTACAGAACGCTTGCGTCCCGTCCCACCCCGGGCCACTCAGTGCCTGTGTATGCAAATTAACCTACCATGTTTGTTGGGTTACTTTGCATACTCACTCCTGATTGGCTGGTAAGTGTTGTGAAGGTATGGTCAATTTGCATCTTACTCTTTTATTAGTGTCGATTATAATTTCTGGGCAAGGTCCATGTATAATGTTTGCCTGATTCCTTAATGCAAACTTTTAATTTCTTTATAGGCCTGGGCTTTTAAAGGAGTAAGATTTAATTTTCAGGAAAAAACTGGAAAGGGGGAAGGCTGTTCTAGGAAAAGTTCAATAATTACAATTAGTAGGGGTAGGTGAGTGCAAGTGTCTCACTATACAGGCATTTTCTAACTGAGACTTTAAAAAAAATAAAGAATGCATATAAAAACAATTATTCACTATATATAGCTAAACATATAATGATTCAAAAAACATACATATTTAACCAAATAAGGCAACATATGCTTAAATCCCGGCTGCGTCATCTAGGAGCTCTGTGGTCTTCTACAAGTCATTCAGTATTTTGGAGTAAAATTCTTCATCTTCAAAACGGGATGAATTCACTTTGAGAATTAAATACAAGAAGGAGATAAACACATGGAAAGTGCCTGGCACAGCGAGGGTCGGTGGTGGCGGCTGCTACAATCTGCTTGAGTTAAGTTGTTGCATTGGAAGAGCTTGCTAAAGCGACTGACTGTGGGACAGCTTTTCTCTTTGCTATTGTTCTTTTTCCTTTCTCTTGTCTCTCTTCAAACAATGGTCCCTGAAATAGGTGTCTTTCACGAATACCAATTACACAAACTCTTTACCAGGAAAACAGCCACACTGTCTCAGGCTGGGGAGACCATGCATTTGGCAGATATCATGTTTACAGCAGAGTACCACTCACCCCCTCTCCCCCCAACCCAAGCCACTTTCCAGTTCTATTGTCACTTTACAACTCAAGAAATTTTTGGTGCCAACTGCTAGAGATCCCCCATCAATCTTTGTTGTCCCTGAGAGAACAGATTAAGCTATTTTCTGGATCAGTAAAAGTTTCATAAACAGGATTGGCTGCAGTGAAGAGCTTGCCAGAGAGCTGTGAGATATTCCCTTGGCAGAAGAAAAGAGGTAATGAAACCAGGCTTGCTGT